CCCCCTGTCCAGGTGAGGGGGGGGGGGGTTAGAGCACCTGGGGTGGGCTCCCGCCAGCGTCAACCCACCACACCTATACAGGAAAGAAAATGCATATAAATGCCTGACAACATGCTAAAACAATAATCATCTGCATAAATATACACAAACTCAACTTGTAAATCAGAACTACTACAATAGCTCCTGATTTAAAAACACTTCTTTATGCTGACACCAACTTTCAAACACATCTCAACCCCTGCAGTGATTAATTTTCAGGAAGGCTTTAAGGAGAAAACATCACTGGTGCATGTACCATAAGGGTTCTGGTCCTTGTTCCAGCTGTTTCACAAGACTTTTGCGGTCCCCTAACCAGCTTGCCAGCATCTAACATGGTGCTAAAAGGGCAGAGTAAGTCTCAAGCTCTTACGGTCTTACTGGCTAGGTATGGCTATCACAGCTCTCCAGCCATACCACGTGCCTCCCTGGAACATCATGCAGGCTTTTAGGACAAATGCTTCCCCTGTACTGCAATCTAGGCATCAGCATTAAAGCAACTGGTAAGTCAGCAGAGACAAGGACTAACTTTACTAAGTTTTAAGAGGAAATTAATATATAGAATCACATAAATACCAAAAATATATGAATATATGAAAGAAAAAGTTTCTAGGTGCAGATCCTTTCTCTAGCTGAGTCTCTCCTGCACTTTTTTCATAAATAAATGTGAAGGCAGAGGTCGCTGACTGAGTGCAGAACGTCTTTCTTGTGGAACATTTGTACACATCCACACTGGCACAGAGGTGCTGAGCTCCATGGACAGTGCAGAGCTTCCTGAGGCATTCTGATACTCCTGGATAAGGCTACTAAGGATGTTTTTTCATGTAAATCAAGAGATAGGCCGTTTCTCCCCTGTGGAAGCAAACAAAAAGCAAAACAAGATATATGTTTGAAGATCTAGCTTGCAAGTAACCTCCCGGGTTTGCTCCTGCTCAGCTTTTTGAGGTTTAGGTCAACTGAACTGGCCCTCTCCAGTGTTTCTGAGGCAGCACACAAAGCTGACTCCCTGGCAGCACTATAGCTTATAGGACGGATTATCTCCCTCCACAGCATTCTTATGATGCATCAAAACAAAAAGCATGGAGGAATCCTGATTGACGTATCTAACTTCAGTCAGGATATAGGGTTCAAGTGGCAATCGTAAGTAACAAGACCACTCCTGCAGCCCCATTTGAGGCTACTCAGTAATCCTGCAGGTATACTGGTATAGTCATATACAGTTGCATCAAAGTAACCAGAACACAGCAATGACTCTTCCACTCTCGCATCCCCAGTACATCCCAGGCAATATGCAGTTCAAACCATTTGTCTTCTCTCTCTTTGCTACCCTCATTCCAAACCCCAGACCAGCATTAGGTAAAAATGATGTGTTTGCTTACCAGTGGAGGTTGGAATGTCCATAGGTGCATTTAACATCATCCCATGATACCTAGAGAAGAAAAACACACAAGAGAAGGCTGGTAAAAACTCTTAAGAGATGGACATATTGTGATACCAGCACAGCAATTCTCCTAAGAGTGGTAGAAGTGGCACTTGCAGGAACTAAACACCTTTTAATAAATCAGTTTATTACTTTTACCCTTCGAGGAAAAACAGTTCCTTTGCCTCTTCTGAATACATACATTAAACAGATCTAGAGTACATGAAGTAGGATATAGAGTGAATGGCTGCTTCTGCAAATTGCAAACCAGAACTTGAGGCCTTGTTTGGTACAGAAGCTAGAGCCGCTTTGCCCTCAGCTCAGAGTATGCTGTAGCAGAGGAATGAGGTGCACAAAGCTCTGCAGCTTCAGTTTTCTTTCCCGGTTCTCTTTCATCAGCAGTCAGTCAGACTGAACGAGATTCTGGAGGAGTGTCCAGGAAGCTACAAAAGAAATGTGGATTTGTCTCCTCACCTGGCAAACCTCAGAATCGTTGAAGCAATACCATTTACATTCTGTGAGACTTCGAATATAGGCACAGTAGTGTCCACAACTAGCTGATCCTGAATGAGCAACAACAGCAAAAAGCTCATACTTCCAGGCAGCCTGTGAAGAGCCACAAAGAGTAACTTTCAGTGCAGCAATTCTCATTTGCCATTGGCTGAACAGAAGCAGCAGCCAGGACAGCAAGAATGTGCATTTCATAAGGAAAGAGGAGAAAGATTAGAATGGCCTTGAGGATCCTGCCTTTTTCGCTCCTACCCTCAGAGTTCTGCCTGCCAGCTATCGGCTAGCAGCCTCCCTGGAGATCACAGGAATGTGAAAAAGGAAGTAAGACAGCAAAGGGGCAGCAAAGGGGTTATACTGCAGCCAACACTGCACCAGTGAGGTTTTGCTGTTGCCACACTTTCCCTTGTTATTTCTCAGTAAGGGGAACAGATCCACAGTGTGGCAGATCACTCTCAGCTGCTTGGCAAAGCTGTTGTCCCCCTGCTAATCTCAACTCTGTGGCAAACAACACTGCATGGGAAACTGCCAGGAATGGAGTTCCTCTGTGTTGGACTGGTGACCTCTGCAAAGCAGCAGGTCTGCTGCTCACTGAGGCCACCTTGCCCTGGAGACTGAACCACAGGACAGAAGTTGCCTCTAAGACACTGTTTACAATGTCTGGATTTGGTCACCCAAAGGAACTGTGTTTTCATCTTTTCTTTAGTATATTTAGAAATGGAAGGAAAAAGTTATGCTAAACACTCTCAGAAAAAAAAAAAAGGATTGGGTTTTTTTTTTGGTAAAGCCTGGGTTTTGTCCTTATGGCAGAAAGCTCCATTTATAGTGCATTTGGTGATTTAATCTGAGCACAGAAAGTTGAATAATTCCTGAACCAGTTAAAACCATGGGATGTGAGACAACACCAGGCACATATAAAGCCTGAGACATACATTTTTAAGACAGGTGCTTTGAACTGAGGCAAGTACTGGTGTGATCTCTTAAGTTTTTATGAGACTTGAGCAGAGGGGAGAAGAGAACCTGCCCTTTTTAAACAGGGCATTAGGAGTATCTCACCTTTTCATTGTCGTCTGCTTGGCACTGATTTTCTGTCAAGACTGCATTGAAATCAAGGTCTTGTGGGAAAGGCAGATAGTGGCTAAGCTTGTGAATATCCGCTGATTTTTCGAAGCAGAAGCGCTTTAGGTGTATGGTCAGAGTCTGCGGCAGATGGACTAGCTTCATGCTCTGTAAAGCAATAAATACTGCAATTGAAAACTAAGGAACAAAACCTGGGGAGGTGGGGTGGAAACAGCCATTGCCACCCCATGAATGTAGGATGGAGAACAGTCAGTGCTACAGTGAATGATTGCCAATTCCACCAGACAGCAGATGCCAAACCTTTTTATTTCATCTGCACACGAGACACATACATGTAACAGAGCTGTGATAACCAAGTTTCTGAACTTCAGCATGATCAGTACCCAGCCTTGGGTGTCTCAAGGGCTGCTTTGTTTCTCATCTGCTTTCCTAACCCTAGGCTGGTAGCCCTAGGTAGGTGAGGAGAGGCAAGCCTATTTCCTTGTGACATGTGGCCACTAGACCGCTGTGAAGGATGCCAAGCTGACAGCTCATTTCTTTCAGCACTGCCTTTGTTGATATTGCTGCTGCTGCCATGATTGCCACCAAGACAAATGGATGCATTGTGGCCTCAGAGGTGGCCCAATGGTGAAAATGTTGTGGAAAGTCCCCTCCAAGCCTTCAGCTGACGCAGTCTCCCTCACACACCTCTCTCTTCAATGCACTTGCCTCTCCATGAAACAGCTAATTCATTGGCTGGCAGAGACCAATACTGTAAAAAATGGGGAGTCCAGTGGAGAGCAGGGAAGAAAGGGAATCACCCTACAGTATCCTACTTTTATGTATATGCACAGGTCCAGTAAAATATTCTTGTCTACCCCTGGAACTACACAGCAATGTAAAGCCCCACAGTGGAAACTCAGCATAAACCATCAGAAGCTTTTCTGCTGGTACAGAAATGCTACATCCCTTGGTGACTTACATTAAAACCCATGAAAGCATTCTTTCGTTGCTAGAGCTACATCTACAGTAGGGAGATTCCTACAGGAAAGATGCTGACATTGCTGTGCTGACCAATCTTTGAGCTGTTGATCTCTTAAACTGATACAGCTGAATCCTTTCCCCACCCTTCCCAGTCCTAAAGGGAGTAAGAGACATGGGCAAATAATTCTCCGTTACCTGCAGAAAAGGTGTTTTCCTTCCACACTGTTCACAGAAACACATGTTGTGGTCAGTCAGCTCTTCTGGATGGAAAAAGTATTGCAGACAGTCCTCCTAAGAAGACAGAGGGTATTTCTTTCAACTGAATTCCTTCAGGCTGGATTTCTATTTCTACTTTGTTTCACAGGGTACAAGCAAACAGCAAAGCTAGAGAAGGTATATTTTATTCAAAGGACAAAAGATTGCCTAGCAGCCTAGAAAAAGGTACCCCATTTTTGCTACCTGCTGCTGTGATTACATTAGTTGAAAAAAATAGAGTACCACATTTTCCACAAAAAAAGGTTTTGATGCATAAATGTCTTTTATACTGACTTCAAAGCCTTAGAGGTTTTGAAAGAGGCTCCTCTAGGACGAAACAGTATAAAGTGGTCAGAGAATAAGTAAGGTCCAATGGTCCCCTGTCACCCGAAAAATCCGCTGTCTATTTCTGGCAGCACCTACATAGCCACCATCATTTCTGTACCTGGATATCAAACAGCAGTACTGATTTAACAGTAAAAGAACACTGCACTGGGCAAATGTAGTGTGTCTGGCCAGGGATTACAAGTTATCTAGGGCACCTCACTGTTGTATCTAAGATCTCACAGGTACACATCACTGTGTAGTATGAGTTTGAGTCTTACAGAGTATTTAGTCAACACTCTTTTTAGAAAGGCAATTCAAGGACTTTATTTTCCATTCCCCAAATCAAAAAATTTTTTGAGAAGTTTAGAACCCCTCAAAACAAAGAAGAAATGTGAATGAGAAAAGATCACCTCAAAGTCCCAGACACCCTACAGAGATTCTAGATGAATCCCAGGAGACACCAGTGCTGCAAGGAGAAGCCTCCCACAGTGAACAGAGGGGAATCTTCTTCCCAAGGAAATAGTGCTGCCACTGAACTTACCAGAGTCTTCAGCACGTGAGAACTGGAATCCAACACTGGCAGTGGAAGGGTTAACATGCTGCTGTTCCTCTTTGATTCAGAAGAGCATTTCTGACAGGCCAGGTGCTCCTGTACACAGATAGTGTACAAATCATTCAGCTCTTCAACCTGGAGGGGTAAAAAAAGGCCAAAAAAAGGTTTATGAAGAACACAGCTGAGTTATTTCCCTCTGTGGGTGGGAAAGCCCACATGGACATGTTACTTCATGCAATGTTACTGCTTTAAAGCTTGAATCCAGATCTGACATTGACTTATGGGGACAGGGCACTTCCCACCATTTAAAGGAGAACAACTCCTTCCCCTCATTCCCTAGCAGATGGGAAAGACATAGCCTATAACAAGATCAGGCAGTTAAATGTCTGCTTTGATGCAGAATTTTACTGTTTTGTTTGGACCAGCAATAGGAGCCTTTCTTCAGTACAAATAAAACTATGACAGTGGGTTGAGGATGAGTCACTTTGCTCTTACCTTACACAGCTCCCCTGGGAGGAACTGTCATATTCATAACATACTAACAGTGACTAATTATAATGAAATGCACATTCAAAGAACAGAGGAGCTGTGTCAAGACACACCAATAAATGCTTACATAAATTTGGGAAAAAAAGAAATGCAAGATAACTAAATTCAGTGTTGCAAAAAGATCAATCTTTTTGTTATTAATCAGGTCTCCCACTAGAACAGAGACCCTGGCATGCCCTAAGAGTAGGATAAACAAAAGTTAACTGTGATTCAAAATGTTGAAGCCTATGAAACCAAGATTCCCTCTCCCGTTTGAAAGATGTGAGGAAAGATCCAAATAGGGGATAGTTTTAAGAATTTCATTTAGGACAATTGTCAATGAACAGGATTCTTCTTCAAGAAACAGAGTAAACCACACATGACAAGGGTCAAAGGACCTGGTGTTCATTTCAGTGACCATCCTTACCAGCTGTGGCTTTTTCATCTGCCTCTTTATCAAGTTCCAGAGAGTCAGAAAGAGCTGGGCAGCATCATGCTGCACAAACACTGGACAAACAGAAAACACAACCTCAATCAGTATTATGAACAGCACCAAGCACAGACAGCAAAGGGAGCTTTATTGTCTCCCATTAGATCCAGCCTCTTGTTCCCTTGCCACTCCCTGCCAGGAACAGAGCTTAGACTGGAGACAAGCTGCAATGTCTCTGTGTGACCTGAGCAGGCAGTGGGAAAAGATGGGAGGGCTTGAGTGCCCCATTGTACAACCCAGTGCAAAAGCCATGTCCTTGTCAACAGATGCAGGGCCAAGAGTATACTAAATACCTATTGGATGATAGGGCTCAGATGTCTCATTGAGTTAAGGGTTGCATTTATTTGAGTCCTTCTTAGAAACAATACAAGGAAGATTCTGTTCTCTTTTTCATCTTTGTTACTGCACAGACTTGTCTCTCCCATCCCCTCACTAAGGCTGTAACACTATGGAGTCCTGAGATAAAAATGACAGGGAGGTCTATCCATACGTCTCATACACAGAATGGTATAAATCCCTTGACCCCTACTCAGGGAAAAAGCACACAGCTTCAGGACAGGAAGCCAAGGATGATGCAGTAACATTACGCTTTGCCTTTCCACTCCGGCTAAACTGGGACATTAAGAAACCTAAGATGGTGGGATACAGCTCAATGCACAGCTTGCTTAAAATGGCTCAGCAGAGAATTGCTTCAAGATTGAATTTGAATTTTTCTGAAGAAAAGGAGACTGAGGGGAGACCTTATCACTCTCTACAACTACCTGAAGGGGGGTTGTAGTGAGGTGGGTGCTGGTCTCTTCTGTCAGGTGGCTGGTAATAGGATGAGAGGAAATGGCCTCAAGTTGCGGCAAGGGAGATTTAGGTTGGATATTAGGAAAAATTTCTTTACTGAGAGGGTTGTCAGACATTGGAATGGGCTGCCCAGGGAAGTGGTTGAGTCACCATCCCTGGAGGTGTTAAAAAAGCACGTAGATGGGGTACTCCAGAACATGGTTTAGTGGGCATGGATGATGGTTGGACTCAATGATCTTGAAGGTCTTTTCCAACCTAAATGATTCTATGATTCAATTTGGGGGGCGGGGGGGGGGGGGGTGGGGAATCCACATCCTTGACTGTGAAGAACTGATGCTTTCAGCCCATGATGAACTCCAGACTTAGGAACTGGGCACAACTACACATAGTTTAGCAAAATCTTGATATTTCTGGACTACCTCTATGCTTGATCATAGGTGAAACAAATTTTGTGGAATAATCCATCAACCTGAGGTGGAATTGTTTTCAACTTCCCTGCAAGTCTGCAGGTACTGACTTCAGCTGGGTTCTAGTAAGACTACAGACATCCCTGACTAAATGAAGCTCAGAAAATACACCTTTCCTTATGTCTAATAGCACATCTGTAATCCAGGTAAAGCACCAATCACTGGGATATAGGACGTTATGAACCACACCTGAATTTTAAAGCAGAAAGGCAAGGTGGGAAACTGTCAAGCTTTACAAACTCTCTTTGAACATCTCTCTTTATTTGGAAGAGAGAAGGCAGAATGCAGAGCCATTAAGTCTCAGGGGGAAAAATAATGCAAACAGAATATTTGGGTTATCTCATGTTGCTCCTTAATATAGGTCTAGGCTGGCTACCATCTGTCCCATTCAGTGCTGTCCTGTTTTGGCTTTTATATGATAAAGATAAGAGCATTTGGATATACCATCTGTATTTGTACACATAAACAGACCCTCAGCATCCCATTGTCACCGGGAATTCGTGCATTTAACAATCTCTCTCCTTTAGGACCCTTCCTGGGGGGGGAGGTTAAGCCAGCAAATTCTTCTCTCTGCCCTTATAACAAGGAACAGGAAGGATATGGTTTCTATCCTTGGGGATCTGGGTGAACTCTATCTTTTCCACATGATCCTTTCCTTCTAATAAGAAACAGCAGCTGTTTCACTATTATCATGCCAGTATAGCAAGACAAATCAAGCTATAAGCTGTCTTCCCTTTGCCCTGCACAGCCCTTGCCCTCTGGCCAGTATCAGCAGCTGAGTCTTCTAGCAGTCTGATAGTCTTCCCACCCTTTGAACATCAGCAAGGATATCCAGTAGGGACTTTTTTCCTCTCTCTTCACAAGTAAAACACAGCATCTCACTCAAAACTGAGAGGCAGCTATAAAGAGCACTACATCATCATGTACCTAACTCCTCACATTTCCGAATGTCTAAATGAGATGTCAGAGTCTGCACTGCTTGTTAGTGCTTGATAATTAACATCCGTGGTCTGCAGATAGAGGTGGGGATGAGGCGGTGCTGCTTACATTTCACTCTGTATACTGAAAGACAGCAAGCAAGGTCTGTGGGAGAAACAGCTTTCTGCTTGCCGCACTGCATCTGCTCCAACAGCAGGAGCATTTGGTATGGGACATTCCTCCTCTTCTGTGCAGCATGTGGTGGCACTGTGATCCTATGAAGAGAAGAAGCAACACAAATGGTAATCAAGCAGTACAATGGAGAAATATGAGACGTCATACCTGGAGGAGCAGAGGTGGATAGCACAGATAGCAACCCAAAAGGAAGCAGAATGGACATGTTTTCAGCAAAAGAAGGAAAAAAGGGGAAGCAGACACCTGCACTAGCTCATCCCACAGAGCAGGCTGACAGTTTTAAAGTAAAAGGCCACAATTTTAACTTGGCCTGTGTGCTGGTTTTGGCTGGGATAGAGTTAATTTTCTTCATAGTAGCTAGTATGGGGCTATGTTTTGGATTTGTGCTGAAAACAGTGTTGATAATGCAGAGGTGTTTTACTTACTGCTGAGCAGTGCTTACCCAGATCCAAGGCCTTCTCTGTTTCTCACCCCACCCCACCAGGGAGTAGGCTGGGGGTGCACAAGAATTTGGGAGGGGACACAGCTGGGACAGCTGACCCCAACTGACCCAAGGGATTGTATTGGGTTTGTGTGGCAAGGTATTGGTAGCAGGGGGGTTACAGGGGTGGCTTCTGTGAGAAGCTGCTAGAAGCTTCCCCTGTGTCCAACAGAGCCAATGCCAGCTGGCTCCAAGATGGACCCGCCGCTGGCCAAGGCCAAACCCATCAGTGACAGTAGTACTGCCTCTGTGATAACAGATTTAAGAAGGGGGAAAAAAAAGTTGCTGTGGCACAGAAACTGCAGCTGGAGAGGGGAGTGAGAACATGTAAGAGAGACAACCCTGCAGACCCCCAGGTAAGTGAAGGAGGGGGAGGAGGTGCTCCAGGCGCCAGAGCGGAGATTTCCCCTGCAGCCCATGGGGAAGACCATGGTGAGGCAGGCTGTCCCCCTGCAGCCCAGGGAGGTCCGCGGTGAAGCAGATATCCATCTGCAGCCCGTGGAGGACCCCACGCCGGAGCAGGTGGGTGCCTGAAGGAGGCTGTGACCCCGTGGGAAGCCCATGCTGGAGCAAGGTCCTGGCAGGACCTGCGGATCTGTGGAGACAGGAACCCACAGAGCAGGTTTTCTGGCAGGACTTGTGACCCCACGGGGGACCCACGCTGGAGCAGTGTGCTCCTGAGGGACTACATGCCATGGAAGGGACCCATGCTGGAGCAGTTCTTGAGGAACTGCAGCCTGTGGGAAGGACCCACGTTGGAGAAGTTTGTGGAGGACTGTCTCCTGTGGAAGGGACCCCACGGCGGAACAGAGGAAGAGTGTGAGGAGTCCCGCCCTTGAGGAGGAAGAAGCAGCAGAGATGATGTGTAATGAACTGACCATAACCCCCATTCCCCATCCTCCTGTGCCACTGGGGAGCCTAGGTAGAGAATTCGTGAGCGAAGCTATGCCCAGGAAGAAGGGAGGGGTGGGGGGAAGGTGGTTTAAGATTTGGTTTTATTTCTCATTACCCTACTCTGGTTTGATTGGCAATAAATTAAGTTAATTTTCCCTAAGTCGAGTCTCTTTTGCCCGTGACAGTAACTGATTGAGTGATCTCTTCCTGTCCTTATCTTGACCCACAAGCCTTTTCTCTCCCCTGTCCAGCTGAGGACGGGAGCGATAGAGCAGCTCTGGTGGGCACCTGACATCCAGCCAGGGTCAACCCACCACAGGGATATTCCAGACCATATGACATCATGCTCACCATATAAAGCTGGGGGAAGAAGAAGGAAGTGGGGGACGTTTGGAGTTATGCATTTGTCTTCCCAAGTAACCGTTACACATGATGGAGCCCTGCTTTGCTGGAGATGACTGAACACCTGCCTGCCAATGGGAAGTGAGGAATGAATTCCTTGGTTTGCTTTGCTTGTGTGCAGCTTTTCTTTACCTATTAAATTGTCTTTATCTCAGCCCATAAGTTTTCTCACTTTTACCCTTCTGATTCTCTCCCCCATCCCACTGTGAGGGAGGTGAGGGAGCAGCTGCGTGGTGCTTAGTTGCAGGCTGAGGGTAAACCATGACAACCTGTTCCTGAACAAGGGGCAAACCGAGCAGGACCTGAAGGGCTTTCTGGGCTCTAGAAACAACATTAGTTACAGCTAGTTTCAGAGCTATTCTTGCCTCCCACCTGTTCATGCCTTCATTCTCAACATACCCTCAAAATTTCATGGGCATATATATCATAATGCTTGTATTTCAACTATATGCCAACTGGAAAGTTCTTTATCCTCCCTAAATTTATTGGAGTCCACAGGTTTTTCTAAGTCTTTCTTCAAATAACAATGGTAACCTACTGTCCACGTTATTTAGCTTTGCCCATTTATGACACTTTTCATCTCTGCATGTCTGTAACTTGTCTTCTTCCCCCTCCGCACACTGGTGAGTGTGTAAGAAATTTGGAGAAAGGAGGACTGAATAGGAATGATCCACTTACATAGTTAAAGCTGCAGTGAACTGAATAAACTGAAAACAAATCAAACCAGTTATTAGTGCAGTTGGTAGGAAGGCAGAAGTCCAAATCCTCCTCACAAACAAGTAGAGAGCACAGTCAAGCAAAACAAAATAACACTGTGTATTTGCTATATGCAACAACACTTACTCTATCAGGTGTTAGCCAGGGCAATCAGAGGCCAGAGGCTATGGATCACAATATGTTTAAGTTTACATGCTTAAAGTTACAAAATTAATAGTGGATATGGTTTGACACAACACATCTTTTATTTATAATGGCCTATGAGTATACCTGGAATAAAATCATATCCTGTTACAGAAAAGAAAGATATGAGTCATAAAGACTCAGTTCAAGACTGCAGCTTACTGGTGTGCAAATGATACATGAATCAGAGATGACTAACAAGTCAGAACACTGCAACTTCTACCTTTGCAGGCCCTAGTCTATATTTGACAGACACAACAAGGCAGAGAGCTTGCTGAGTGAGCTGAGCTTTACTAGCACCTTGGTGATCCAAGCCTTCAAATGTACATCCCGTATAAAAAAAGGAAAGGAGACCACAGAGCAACAATGGAAGTATCTCAGATAGTTCAAACAGGTGGTACCTTCGAAGTATCCCTGTGAAGCGTATATTCATGAGGAACACTTGGAGCAGAGAGTTCAGACAGCAGCTCTGTCCAACATTGTACAGTCCAATAGCTTCTGTAGGCAGAGAAAAAGAGGAAGTGAGGACTGGAGATAGATAGGTACAAGAAAAGAAAGTTAAAATTATTTGAAAGTGGCAAACTCCTCTTGCACATCTTCAGCCATCCAGTGTATAGGCCCAGCATCTTGGTCAGACCTGAGAGTGTTCAATCTATCCTTATGTTGCTCAAGCAGATAACGTTTATTTTTGTTTGGCAACTGACAGGAAAAATCCAAGTAAGCCTGGATTATGATACTCGGATGTCTCCCAGTTCCTCTATTTTCAGTCCTCTCATAACACACCTAAACATAAAATTTAAAAAGTCAGAAGTCAAAGGCTGCCTGTATGAGGGTTTTTATTCAGCCTTTTACACAGCCACGCCTAATAACATAATGAAGAGCTACATGTGGGACCACATGCTAGTTGTCCATCACAAAGGCTTCAAGTTTCCCCTTCAGCCTACCTCTGGTATTCTTTGTCTCACTTTCAAAGAAAGGAACTAGCCTGAGAGAAGTGGAAAAAGCAAGTCACAGCTGTTCACACTGCATCTAAAAAGATGACATATTCTGTACCCCAAAGCAGTATAAGTAACCATGGTCAGAAATTAGAAGGTTTTCTTCTGAAGTCATCGCTGTAGGAAGAGAGGACGTGGAACAGAAACTCAGAACAACCCTGAAACGCATACAGTTGGTGGTAAGGGTGGGCTATAGCTGGGACAGAACAGTATGTACACCTGAAATACTGATGACAGCTTTTGAGAGGCCAATCTAGTGATGGAGCAGAATAACTAGGGCCTAGTCCATGGTTTAGCAAATCCAGAGGCAATGCTGGTTGTATTTAGAAAGAGACAGGATCAGCATCTAGACCTTTTCAGCTGCATTGGTCAATTTGAGGACTTAAAACGGGAAAAAGCTCCGAGATCCTCATGTAATCCCTTCCCGAAAACTCAAAGTGGCTACTTGGCAGGGCAAAATGAGAATCATATGTATGTTCCTCAGTGAAGAGGTAAAGAATAGGAGAAAATGAAGCCTAAGGACAGAGAATGGAACAGCAGGCATTAGAAAATATGAGAGTGAAGAATAGGCAAAACATTATTACCATTTTTTAAGTCTGCCACACCAAAGACTGATGTTAGCCTCTGGTCTTTGGCCTTTGGTTCTTTGTCTTCCTCTTTATTATTTTGTACTTCTGCTTCTGCCTTCATAGTCTCGCTTAGTGCCAGCTCTAGTTTCTTGCTTCTTTCTTGACGTCCACTCCTTTGTCCCATCAACAATACTGTACAAAGACAGATGGACTGCAGAAAGATACAAAAAGGTCAGAAAGAGGGGACACACCCAGAAACCCAAGATTTGTCTTTGTATTTGATATTTTTATTATGAAAAAGCTGGAATGTCAATAAACTTAGTAAGATTACTGTGACGGCATTTGGTATATTTGAATTAACATGGGTATTGTAGGTTGCAGGTTATTGGCAAAGTAACAGACATGGAGCTTGACAGCAATTGCACATCCTGTCTTCCTTTTGTGGCTAAATAAATAAAAGAACCTTCGATTCCACAGAAACAGCTCCACCAAGCCAGGGAACTCCAGACATCCCTGTTCAAGAAAATTTGGTAAATAATATGATTAAAATTGTCCAAATCACAGATGTTGCAAAAACTCCTCTGTTCAGTAAAAGTAATGTTTTATCACCCAAACTATCCCAAGTATTCAAAAGGGCAAATTTCACCTTCTCTAGCCTTTTGAGCTGATAAGCATTTGTTTGCTTTCTGTACTGGGCTCTCTGCATTGCTTTTAAGTGCCTTAGTCACAGCTCTACTGTGCCACTTTGGGCTGTAATTTTTAAAGGCATTTAAGCACCTAAAGATCAGTTTCTTTTTATGCTCCTTCAAGTGATCACAGTCAAAGTAATTGTTTAAGCAAGAGAACCATTATAATGCCCTGATTTTCAAGGGAATATTGAACAGACTATTACTCTGACAGTCTTTTATGACTCAGGTACTAGCTCTTTAAATAAAAGTTGAAAAAAAAAAAAAAGAAAAATCACTAAATGAAAGCAAAGTAAAAATACACAAGCAAATGTAACAAATGTTCAAATTACACAAAAATGAAACTTTTTAAAAGCCCACCTCCAACAGGGAGGCAGAATCAGAAAAAAAGGATATGCTTAGGGAAGCATTCACGGGGGTGCGGGGGGGGACATGCAAAACACCTGCTCAAAAATTATTATTTTGCAAATATTAAACAGCACATAAAATGAACCTAAGGCCAGGTGCTGAAAGAATGAATAAAAGCTACCAAGAAAGGGAAATAAGCAAAAAAATCCTGGTTCTGCCTTTCACAAAAAGAAAATCTTTGCTTTAAAAGCATGCCATTTATATTTTTCAGGTTAACTGTGCCTAATAATGTTAAATATCAAAGTTTCTGAAGATTCAGGCAGGGAAACTAGAAATACTTCTTTTTTTCCACTAATTATTACCTTAAAGCTTGATTATACTTTTTTCCCAACTGTACTTTTGATTGTTTTCTTTTGAAGATTAATTTTGAACTCTAAGTGTCATAGACTCAGATTCACTAAATATTGTCAAATTTGCTGAGGAGTTTTATTTGGGGGGGGGGGGGGGAGGAAACACATTAAAAAATAGACTCA